AATCTAGTATAACACACCGTAAATCTTCATCCATACATTTGAGCCACATTTTTGAAAAGCTTTCTCTAAAATGATATTGTGAAATTATTGTTGGTTTAAGAGGCAAAGCTTTACACATGTTTCAGTGTTGAAGGACATGAGGTTCACGAGATACATGATAAACTATCCTATGTACAGATCAGATAGCGAAGGGAAGATCGGGAAATACTGTTTTATTTTGAGCAAGCAATTCTTCGATGAGAGTTATATTGTTCATTGGATGATCCTCATCATAAGCCCATAATGGAAACTCATTAAGAGAGAAAAGTGTACGTCCCCACAACATAACGTTGACCATGGTAATGATAGTGCACCCAATTGTGACAAATATTCCCGCGAAAGCCTGGAATTGGAAATATGCTATGATTCGACCATGGCAATGACCAAGAATGTTTACTGAATAGGGCTGTTTGTGGTAAACCAAATGGATATAAAATGTTGCTTTCATGTTGGCCCATTGAAAGCATTGGAAAGAAAATTCAGATGATGATTACAAGAAATTATTTTCTTGTTGTGTCTCAATAAGTCCGTGCGAATAATTTTTTCTGTAAAGAAAACGGCAAGATTGTAACTGTTTGTATTTTCTTTTCACTGTAGGGACAGTTCCAACGATTATAAACCCTGAACATATGCTTGAGAAATGCAAGAAAACGAACCATATCAGCAACTTGCACTAGGCCTGTGCCAAAAACAATAGCGTTTGGAGGGGTAGCGACTGGAAACAAAAAAGCAAATGATGATGATACGGCAACAGGCAACATAAAAAATAGAGGATTGGTGTCAAGTGATCTGAAAATATTAAGTATTTCTTTCATGCTTAAAACTACACTCTTCGTTATTTTAAACATACCTGGCCAATTCTGCAACAATCGGTATGAAAATACTGGCAATTACTGTATTGGAGCAAATATTAGTTAAGCTAACTGTTATACAAATACAGATTAGCATTATCACGTTAACTGGAAATACAGACAGACGTTGCATTACTTCGCCTATCTCGAGCGAAAGATGAGATTCCTAAAATAAAGTAATACTGTACATCTTTAGGAACGTATTATCATTCAAAAAT